GCGTCGGGGGGGAACCCCAGGAAGACGCAGGGAGCAGCGCGAGGGGACAGCTTGTCCGCAGACAAGTCGCGGACAAACGCCCGAGATCCCCAGACCCGGAACGCGGACGCATCGCCAACCTTCCCCGTCCACAGCAGCGCTGGGGAGGTCTCCGGCCTGGAGACCCTGGGGTGGAGGTTGATCTGATGCGCTGCGTACCTGACCGCAAACGGCCACAGAAAATGGGGGGCAGCCGCATGCATCATGGACGTACGAGCGACGTCCATGACCATGCCAATGCGGCGCTCTGCAATCCCATTTTGCTGCGGGGAGTCCGGAAGCGTGAAGGTCTGGCGGATGCCTCGCGCACGACAGTAGGCACGCAGAAGGCCGGAGGAGAACTCTCCGCCTCTGTCCGAGTGCAGACGCAACACAGGAAAGTCCGAGCCAAAGCTCTGCCTGAGCTGGAGACGAGCTGCGCGGATCCAGTCGATCAGCACCTCAGTGACATCACCCTTGCTGCGCAAGGGGAAGACTGTGGTGTAACGCGAGTAGTCGTCAACCACCAGCAGGAAGTAGCGCTCGTGACCGAGTCCACGGACGCGGGCAGGGCCCCACACGTCCATGTGAAGCGTCTGCAACGGAGCCTCTGTCGGAGGAAACTGGGAGGAGTGAGGGGCAGCACGCTGGCGCCCCTCGACACAGGGGACACAGGCAGGGCCAGGGCCCTGAGGAAGGGGAGGTAGAGACCGGGGGAGACCAGACACAAGAAGACGGGAGGCCATGCCTCTGAGCCGAAGCAGAGAGGGGTGGCCAAGGCGGTGGTGCCAGAGGAGGGTCTCGTGAGACAGACGGCGACACGAACAGGGGGCAGACTCAGGACCAGACCTGGACGCTGCAGCAAACACCTGACCAGACGAAGGGACTCTACCAGACTCAGCACCTGGAGGAGAGGCAGTGGTCAGTGTGTACAGGCTCGACCCTGGCTGACGTGTAAACGTAGCCAGGTGACGACCTGTGCTAGCGTCCGTGCAGTGCGTCACTCGCTGACTAGCAGGGGTGAACTGGTGGACTCCCGCATCCTGTAGGTCAGCACCACTCACCAAGTTTGTAGAGAACGAGGGGAGGTAGAGACCAGACAGGGTGCCAGAGGGAGCCGCCGGACACGGGAGGACTGTGGAGAAGCGAGACAGGACAGGACCCCCAGAGGGGTCAGCCAGGGAAACCGCAACCGGCCGACTAAGCGGCGTAAGTGTGGTGCGGTCCCGAAAGAAAGAGCGAGACGCTCCAGAGTCAAGAATGAAGGTGTGGGAGGCCGAAGCCGACGCAGTACCTGAGAGCGCAGACGCACTAGTACCTGAGAGAGCAGTCTCACGAGCACCTGAGAGCACAGACGCACTGGCACCTAGAGCAGAAGCCTCACCGGTACCTGGAGCAGCAGTACCAATGCCCGGGTCGGGCGGGAAACACCGGTAACAGTCACCCTCCTCACTAATGGTCACAGCATACATGGCAGCAAGGATAGCATCAAAATCAAGATCAAAGATAGCTACACCAGCCCTAGACAGCTCTCCCCAGCGGGGGATTTCCGCGCCCTCCGGGAACTGCTGACGCCAAGCGTCCGTCAGGCGGCCAAAGCAGCGCTGGGCGGAGTGGGCACCCCCACACTGCTCTCCAGTGCGGTCGCCAGTGCGGAGAACGTAGGTGCAGGGACCAAAACCCCCACCGCGTTGACGCTGCGTGTACCACTCACGGAGCTGCTGAGGGGTGGGGACGTCGCGAGAACGCTGCTGCTGCTGCTGCTGCTGCTGCTGCTGGCGCTGACCGCCACCAGTGCCGCTCCGCTGCGAAGCTCCACTCCGACCACCTCCACCTCCGCCACCCCCGCCTCCGCCTCCACCGCCCCCACCTCCACCTCCACCGCCGCCACCTCCTCCACCTCCGCTACCACCGCCACCGCCGCCGCCACTCCCGCCTCCACTGCTGCCACTAGCACCCCCACCCCCGCTACCACCTCCACCGCCACCCCCACTCCCCCCGCCGCCTCCACCTCCACCGCCACCGCCCCCACTGGCCCCACCCGCTCCCTTGCCCCCCTTGCCCTTGCTAGAGCGGCGTCTCCCGCTAGGGGCAGACGCCGCACCGACCGACTCAAGACCAACGAGGTCGGCCGCAGTGGCAGAGGCGACAGAGGGCAGGAGAGGGGAAGGAGAACACCCCTCAAAGATGGGGGCGCGGGGGTCACCTCGAGAGGCTCCTACAGCGACTATGCTCTTCTCTGCTGCAAGGAGGGCCTTCTCTAGGCTGTCGACTGTGAGGGTGGTGGGACAGACTGCGAGGAAGTGGTCCCGGACTACACGAAGGGAGTCAGGGAGGCGAGTGACTAAGAAGTAGAGAGTGATGTATATGGGGGGGGGGTTCTTGGCGCAGAAGTCAGCAGGAAGCGGAGCGCGGTAGCGAGTGTCACTAGTGCGGAGGTGCGTGATGAGATCAGCGACAGTGGGAAAGGCGGCAAGGTGAGGGAAGAGGAAGGGGAGCATGAGGCGGCTCAGTGCAGCAGTGGCAGGGGAGGAGTAGCGCGCAACTACAGCGTCGTACAAGGTCTGGGCACTCTTGTACTGGCTAAAGTGCGCGCGCTCAGCGGTAGGCAAGTGGCGACGCACAGCAAGACGTGCAGCAGCATCGCGCGTGGCCCACTGTGAGCGAACAGTGGTGTCAGCATCAGCAGCAGGGGAAGGGACGGCGCCAGAGGTTAGGTCAAAGAGAGACAGACCGTCCGCCCTATCGCACTGTAAAAACAGCTGCAGGTCGTCGAGCCAGACCTCAAAGTCTATGGCTCGACCCTCAGCGTCAAAAGCGAGGACACTAGGGGTAGCCATGACAACGAGAGTGAAGCAGTGCAAGCAGTAGGGGAAGGGCACGCAGTGAGAGCGGTACAGTGCTCACCGGGCAGGGCAGGTCGGGCGGCTCGGTAGAAAGGCGGCTCGGCTACTCAGCGACTCGGCTCCCGGGCGGCTCGGCTCCCAGGCGGCTCGGCGGTAAGGTGGCTCGGGCGGGGCGGCTCGGCTGCCGGGCGGCTCGGGTGCAGGACGGTTCGGCTGCACTGCTGCTCGGCGGTACGGCGGCTCGGCTGCTGCAGGTGGGCGGCTCAGCTGCTGCAGTTGGGCGGCTCGGCTGCTGCAGTCGGGCGGCGCGAGAGCAAGGGGCGGCGGGGCCGTGAGTGCTGGGGCGGCGGGGCCGCGAGACCAGGGGCGGCGGGGCCGCGTAGTAGGGGCGGCGGGGCCGGGAGCGCTTGGGGCGGCGGGGCCGCGAGATCAGGGGCGGCGGGGCCGTGAGCGCTGGGGCGGCGGGGCCGCGAGATCAGGGACGGCGGGGCCGTGAGATCAGGGGCGGCGGGGCCGGGAGCGCTGGGGCGGCGGGGCCGCGTATCAGGGGCGGCGGGGCCGGGAGCGCCGGGGCGACGGGGCCGCGTATCAGGGGCAGCGGGGCCGGAAGCGCTGGGGCGGCGGGGCCGCGAGATCAGGGGCGGCGGGGCCGTGAGCGCTGAGGCGGCGGGGCCGTGAGATCAGGGACGGCGGGGCCGCGAGCGCTTGGGCGGCGGGGCCGCGAGATCAGGGGCGGCGAGGGCCGCGCTTTCAGGGTCAGCGGGGCCGCGAGATCAGGGGCGACGGGGCCGCGAGATCAGGGGCGGCGGAGCCGCGTGAGGAAGGGCGGCGAGGGCCGCGAGAGCAGGGCGGCGAGGCCGCTAAGGCGGCGCGAGGGCGGGCAGCGGGGCGCGGGCGCTAAGGCGGCGCTCGGGCTGCTAGGGCGGGCGGCTCGCTAAGGCGGCGCTCGGGCCGTTAGGGCAGATCGAAAAAAAAAAGTAAGAGCAAGGGCCCGGAGCGCGCTCCGGGCAGAAAAAAAAGGTTCGATGTGGTGGGCCCTAAGCACAGTTCCCACGGGGGAACCTGCTTGATACCATGAGAAAGTTAGAACGAGAATGAAATGACTATGAATGAAGTGAGTACAAATAGGAAACTCTAGTTGGGTTGTACCCCCTATGGGATACCCTACTATAGCCTACACAAATAAGTAAGCTATAATATTCTGACATAGAGTACATGGCTAGCTAGGTCGTTTCATCTCCCCTATACTCATATTTATATTTGCCGTATTTGCATGTTTTATTTTATCTCAAGCATTTACATTCACTCTACTATTGAGGTCAAGGGCCCACCAACATCACTTCTCTGCTTGCCTGAACCTTCCTGAGTAGATCCTAGGCCACGATCAACTTCTGATCGCAGCAATGCCTTCGCTCAATGTACTGTTATTGCTTCGATAGTGCAATTCTCGCTCTCTCGCTCAATTGCACTCGTAACATGTATATCTAGTGTTGAAGTTAGTGCCAGAGCATTGAATCTTGGGATATATCTCTAAACACAAGCGAACACAACACAATACCTTACATTGGCGGTGTTCGCCAGCATTTTTACGGGCTGACCAGGCTGACGGAGGTTAAGGAACCCTAACTGACGGGATCAGGAAGGCGAGAACTTACCTTCCTGATCCCGTCGTCATCCCCTCGTTTTTGCTTAGAAATGTGCTGGCGAACACCGCCATAATCTTCGCGAAAGTAAGGTCTTCGACAGAAGTCGCTACCCACCTACAGAAGGCAGCCAAGCCGCTTTAGGGTTCTGCTGCTTCTCCTAAGCGTCGACCCTGACGGCACGGAGGGACCAAAATCAATGAGTCTTTTATACGACGTCATGAGAGGTCCACAAATTGCGCTGCGAGTAGGGACCAAAACCTTTGATTGGGACTAATCGTGACTGCTCGCTAGTGACAGGACCCTAGATCACTGCAAAGCCGTTTCTTATTGGCTGTCCCAGACCTGCAAACGAAACCCCAATTTCTTCCTGACCGACTGACAGCGAGGGCTGGTGGTTACATACCGGAAGTAGCTGTCCGAAAGGCGGTCTCGACTTTCTTTTTTATCATTCTTATTACTTTGTTCTTCCATTCATTGGCTTCTTTCGAAAATGCCGCACGCATATTCGGGACCGGCGGCGATGCCCTCCGCACCGTCCGATCCCGCCGACGATACCACCAGCAGCGGCGACTTGGGTCGCGCAGAGATTAAAGACAGCCCGCGTCATCATGACGTCACCAACATACCTCCGCGACCATCTCCTTCCAACGGCCGTCGCCACCCGCCAGACGTTCTCCATCTGCACTTACCGAGTCCGCGATCCGGACCTGCTTCTAACGCGTACGATCTGTCCGGCGAGTCGGAACGATCTCCCAGCGTTCATTCCATGACGGGCGAATCGCCGCAAAACTCGGCCACTTTTCTCCGCCTATCCTCCATCTCTTCAAAACAATCCTCCGTCTCCTCCTCCCCCATCCCTAGCCCCATCGGCGCTTCGCCTTCCCCCTCCGCCTTCTCCGTCTCCTCCGCTTCCTCCTCCTTCTCCTCCCGCCCTCGAACCGCGCCCAGCAAACGGGGCCAGTACAGCCGTTCGATCTCCATGGGCGCCGGGATGGCGAGAGCCGTTGGATCTGTCACGAGCCATCATCAAGTGGACAATAACGATATCTACGCCTTCTGCCCGCTCGCGACTTCCGCGGGAGGCATCCCCACGCCGCGCTCCCAGAGATTAAGCGAGTCAGGCCTCCCCGGATCGCGCTCGTTCTCGTCTACGATTGGTATTCCGGCGGCGCGGCCTACCGTGGAGCCTCTTAAACTCGGGCCGCTTATTTCCGCGGTTGCTTGCGGTAACGAGGAGGAGATCCGCGACGCGGTTTACTGTGTCAGGAGAGCACTCAAGGGCTGCCCGGAAAACAAAGAAAGGCTGATCCGATCAGGAGGAATACCTTTTCTGGTCAGTCTTATGAAAGTTCCTGATCCCCTCACAGTGGAGCATGCAGTCACAGCGATTTTCAACATCTGCCGGATGGAAGCCGGGCAAAAGGAAATTTTCTCCGAGGGGGGGCTGGAGTCTCTTGTGGACGTCCTCCGGGCAGCAGAAAACAACGAAGCTGCCCGGGAAAACGCGGCGGCGGCGATTTTCTGCCTGGCGAACACAGAGGAACGAAAGCAGCTGGTTACTGAGAGAGGAGCGTTACCACCGCTGGTGGGGTTGCTGCAGACTAGTAGTGTGAGAGGGCAAAGAGATGCTATTCTGACCATCTGGAGTCTGGTTAGGTGGCTCTGTGCGTGCTCTCTTTATGGCTTCCCGGGTGACACAGCAGCGGGTGATGCGGGGTGTCATAGTGAGGCAACAGCAGCAAGAGCCGGAGCAGGAGCAGGAGCATCAGTAGCAGCAGCAGAAGTAGGAGCAGGAGGAGCAGGGGAAGGGGAGGAGGAGAGAAGCAGTGATGCCACAGAGGCAGCAGATGGTTCAGGAGGCAGCAGGGGGGGCAGCAGAGGGGACAGTGGGAAGGAGAGCAAGGAGGTTAATAAGGAGCGGGAAGAGCAGGATGAAGAGGAATCCGAACCTGTGAGAAAATCCGTCACTGTCGCTGATTTCATCGCCACTGGTGCAGTGCCTGTTCTCATCGGGCTCTTACAGTCGTCGGATCAAGGGCTGGAGGAGCGATCAATGGCCATCCTTTCTCTCCTCTCCAAGTTCCCCGAAGGCCGGCGGGCCATCTGGGAAGCAAATGGCGTGGAGGGGGTTTGTGACGTGCTGGAGATGTCGTCTCAGAGGGCAAAGGAGGAGGCAGTGGCAACGCTGCTACGAATGGCTGGGAGTGACACGGCGGTTAAGGCGGTTTTGGTTAGGGAAGGGGTGATCCCTGCGCTGTATAAGATTCATAAGGAGAGCGAGGGCAATGCAGGGGTGAAGGCTAAGACTCTGCTTGACATGCTGCGGACCACCTGGAAGTAACTTTTGAGTTACTCCACTCATTCTTGGCACTGTATAACAATACATAGGTCTGGCAGGGTGGGGGTAGGGCCATTTTAGTCTCCCTCGTCGCTTGCTCAGGACTGGGAAAGTGAGGTAGCCGATCTTAGTCAACTCACAAGGGACTGTCACTTTTCTGCTGTGTATGAGCGACAAAGGGCGGGCAAGGTTGATAGCTCTCTCTGTCTTAGCTTTCCATTTGCTCATTGAAAGTGAATGAAGATAATTTATCTGACTCGGGCGCCTGTACTGGTGGTACCTTCTAGTTGAACTGGGACATTTTTAGTGTTATTCAGTCATAATTTACCTTCCTGCATGGATTTTGCACCATTGCAAAGTGCTCAAGATTATCGTAACTCAACACTCTCCAGCACAAGACCAACATCAGCGCCAAAAATGATCACAGTTAAAAAAATCTACACCCGCTATACACACAAAAGGTGTCTGCCTTCAGAGGAGTGAGAGGTGCGAAGGGCCTCACCAGCACACACAACACCACCAGACGAAAATCTCAGCGCATGTTGCATCAGCCGCAGCATAACCCAGTGAAATCCTTCTCAAAACGGTTTGCCCTACAGGCTGGCATAGACCCTCCTCCCTCACTCCCCACCTCCGATTTGTCACTCCCAAACCCACATTCCCACCCAACCAATCTACAGTTTTATTTGAATTAGTCTCGGCACTTGTCCACTGCCCCTTCATCCCCTGCAAATCCCCCAAACCCTCTCTAGCATTTCGCTAGAGAGCGCACCCTCCCGTTGAAGGCAGTTCGAGCGAGACCATGACGTGGGACTTGCCGGCCTGTCCTCTCTCTCCTGTCCCTCCTTTACTTTCAACCACTCAGCACTTGGCGCTCCCAGCATCCTCCCGTTGAGCAAGAGGCAGCTCAAGCGAAACCATAAAGTGGGACTTGCCGGCCTCGCGAATGTACTGCACGTCGCCGTTCATCAGCTTCACAATCTTGCGGCAGATGCTCAGCCCCAGCCCCTCCTGCGACTTGCTGTGTGCGTCCGCCCGGTCAAACATCTGGTGGATCAGATCCTCTGGAAGGCCTTCTCCTGCGTGGCTCACCCTGGAAGAGAGAGGTGGCAAGCAGGGGAGAGAGGGGGAAGTTGGGTTGAAGAGGGAGGGAAGTGTGTTAAGGAGAAGGCAGGTGCCCAGTCCCAGCCCCTCCTGTGAGTTGCTGTGTGCATCGGCACGGTCAAACATCTGGGAGCCCCTCTCCTGCGTGGCTCACCCTGGAAGAGGAACGGGAGACAAGGAGGGACAAGCAGAGGGGAGAGGGGATAAGCAGGTGGCGAAAATGGGGCAGGAAAGGTTAAGAACAGATGTGAGAGCCGCTTGGACCTCCTAGTTGATTGAGGACGAAGGTGCACCAGCCGAGACAGGCAGTGCAGGCAACACTATTCTGAACTGCACTCATCCAGGCAGCCTGGTGGGCATGGCGACACAGCCTTGACCTCCCCCCACGCACCTACTCGCTGCACTACAGGGCTCGCACTTGATCGCACAGACCATAGACTTGCTCAAGTTGATCGGCATTGACTGCATTGACTTGCTTGAACTCAAGCTAGACCACGGTAATTCCTCCCAGCAGCTTGGTAGGCGTGGGCATAACTTGGACCTCCACCCACCCACTGGCCGGGGTGAACTGCATTTCATTGAGTTGATTGCATATACTCACTAGACCATATTGACTGCATTGACTTACTTGAATTCCAGCTTCACAACAGTGACTCCTCCCGGCAGCTTGGTGGGCGTGGGCACAACCTTGACCTCCACCCACCCACTGGCTGGGGTGAACTGCACGGCGTTCAGCAGGAAATCTGCCAGCACCTGCTGCAGCCGCACCTGTTAAATGGGGGAAGCCCGGGAAAAGGGGGGAGAATGAGGGAGGGGAGGGTGGGGGGAGGGAGAGGGGAAGAAGAGGGAGAGACGGAACAGAGAGAGGTTAGGAAAGACGTTGTGGACAGAGGCATTGTGTGACAAAATCCGTGGTTCATTGGGCCGGGAGAAGTTGTGTTAGAAGAAGTTTCATTTGCATCATAAACAGTTGGGAAGGTAGACATGAAGGGAAGCATAAGGTGGAGTGTGGGGGGAGTCAGGGGTAGAAGGTAGGAAAAACGGGAAGCATCACAACAAAGCTGAAAGGAGGGAGAGGGAGATATGAGGTCGTTTTGGCGGTTTATTTAGACCCTTTTTTAGCTGTTCCTGCACATCACAGCGTAAGTTGATACCACTCTGGATCGTACCTGGTCGCCGAACACGTTCATGGTCTTGAACTCGGGCGGGGTGTCACAGAAGAGCTGCAGGCCCTTGCGAGAGGAGGAGATCATGCCCTGGCTGACGACGCTGTTCATCACCGTCGCCATCATGAACTCTGCTGTGTCCAGCTCCAGGTAGCTGGAGGTGGGAGGAGACAGGGGGGATTATAGAAGAACGCAGGGAAGAAGGGGAAAAAAAGAGGAGAAAATCATGCCCTGGCTGACAACGCTGTTCATCACCGTTGCCATCATGAACTTCGCTCTGCTGTCGTCATCACCGCTGTGTCCAGCTCCAGGTAGCTGTGGATGGGACCAACAGCAGGGGGGATGGGGAGGGGAGGAGGGAGCCGGGAGAGGGGAGAGGGGAGAGGGAGGAAGAAGGGGAGAGGGAAGAGGGGAGAGGAGAGAGGGGAGAGGGGATGGAGAGGGGAGAGGGAAAGGAAGAGGAGATCATGCCCTGGCTGGCTGGCTGTTGCCATCATGAACTCCATCGTGTCAAGCTCGAGGTACCAGACAAGGGGAAGAAAAGGAGCAGAAGAGCCAAGGGAAGGGTTCATAGATAGAGGGCTCATCAGGAGTGACTCTCCATGGACCATTGAAAGGAAAGTATCGCTATCTGGTTCAGAAGTTAACTCCAAAAACCTTGTAAAAGGAAAATATCATTCGTGGACTGGACTGGCTGAGTGCCATGGTGTTCATTCTCCACCCCCAATCCCCCACCTGCACTCACCCTTCCTCGATGCTAGCCAGGTCCATGTCATCAAGAATCCGCCGCAGCTGCTTCTCGCACATGGCGCTCGTCTCCACCAGCTGCTTCCACACACCCACAGTCCCCAGCACGCCCCCCCACACGCACTCACCCTTCGCCAGCGGGTTCTTGATCCCCTTCGCCTTGCCATTCCCCTACACACCCGGTTACCAGCATTACTTTTCACACACCCACAGTCCTCAGCACGCGCCCCCTCTCCCCCTCCCCAGCACTCACCCTTCCTCGATGCTAGCAAGGTCCATGTCATCCAGGATCCGCCGGAGCTGCTTCTCGCACATGGCGCTCGTCTCCACGAGCTGCTTCTGGTCCTCCGTGAGCTCCGTGTGCTCAATGAACGACCGCGCAAACATGATGCCGTCCAGCGGGTTCTTGATCTCCTGCCGGATGTACGCCAGCTCCTTCGCCTTCGCCTCTGCCACCTTCTCGGCGGCCTTCTGCACCGTGAGCGCTTGCTGCAGCTCCGGGGAGGCGGTGTGGAGGAAGCAGAAGACGCCCGTGATGGCGCCCTCCGCGTCCGTGCGCTTCTGGGCCGTCAGCAGCACCTCCACCAGCTTGCCCTGTGGGAGTCGAATGGGGTTGCAGCGGAGGAAGAGGAGGGGAACGAACCAGCTGACAGCTTGGTGGCATGGTACATTGGGACTAGATAATGCAGTGAGGCGAGGCAAAGCAGCCGCCTTCTAACTAAACTAACAGTGTCTTGCATTCTCTGTTTTTATTAGGATTCTAAAAAAAAAACAGATTCAGCCGCCTTCCAACTAAACTAACAGTGTCCTGCAGGAAGTTTAACCCGCAAGCTAGAGAGAAGCTTCATCGCCATGAGTGGATTGCAAACTTTTAAGCTAGAAAAACGCACCTGGCGATCCAGGAAGGAGAAGGGGAAGCGCTCCGTATCATTCCCGTCCATGGCGTTGTTGAGGATGATCATGAGCTTGGTCATGGCGTCGCTGCTCTTGAGGCGGCACAGCGCGCCAAAGACGTCCCCGGTGAGCATCTTGCCCATCACCTCCTCGCGCTTCAGCCCTGCCAGCTTCTCCATTGCGGGGTTCCACTCCGTGCAGTACCCAAACTCTGGTGTTTTAAGGGAAAGAAGCGCGGGAGTGGGGGGAGAGGAGGGGAAAACGAGAAACGTGTGAAGGGAGAGAGGCACGTGTCCACCACGTTCCCCTACCCCTTCCCTTCCTTCCTTCACCTGTCCCCGGAAGCACCTCGGACCCACCCCATACGCGCTCTCAACGTGCGCGTATGGGGGATGAAGGGAGGAACGAGCAGAGATAATGGGGTGAGATACGTGCCGCACGAAGCACACGCCCACCACAATCCCATTTTTCTTCCCCTTCTCCAATCACACGTCCATGAACGAACCGAGGCCACTCCAAATGCACCTCAACGTGCGTCAACCGCCCCACAAACACACACACCCAACGCAATGTGATTGAAGAAGTGTGTTGAGACGTCTCAAAACACGTCCATGAACGAGCCGAGGCCACTCCAAACGCAACTCAACGTGCCTCAACCGCCCCACAAACACACACCCCCAACGCACGGGACCTGCCCTCGCGAGTGCCTCACCGTCGGAGCCAAAGATGGGCGGGATGAGCGAGTTGTGGGAGAGCACGATGGTGGAGTAGTCGCCCTGGATCTTGGTGAACCTCCCGTGCTGCCCTATTTACCCCTCCTCTCAAGACAAGCCCCCTCCCGACTTCTCACATCCCCAAACACCCCTCAAACACCTGCCCAAACACTGACCGTCAGAGCCGAAGATGGGCGGGATGAGCGAGTTGTGGGAGCGCACGATGGTGGAGTAGTCGCCCTGGATCTTGGTGAACTTGTCCATGACCACCTTCTGCCCCGTCACGTCCTGCCCCACGAAGCACACTCCCACCACGTTCTCGTTCCCCTTCCCCTTCCCTGTCCCCTTCCCCTTCCCATTCCCTTCCATCCTTCACACGCCCACAGATGCACCCCAAACCCACCCCAGACGGACCTTAAAAAGAACCCAACCGCACCCGAAACGGCCCAACCGCACCCGAAACGGCCCAACAACACACACCCTAAACGCCCGCAACCCGCGCTAGCGTGGGACTGACCGTCGGAGCCGAAGATGGGCGGGATGAGCGAGTTGTGCGAGCGCACGATGGTGGAGTAGTCGCCCTGGATCTTGGTGAACTTGTCCATGACCACCTTCTGCCCCGTCACGTCCTGCCCCACGAAGCACACTCCCACCACGTTCTCGTTCACGTCACGGCTCGCGCACGCGTTCACGACGAGGATGACGGCGTTCTTCTCCTTCTGCGCGCCCCACGTGCGCAGCTGCACCTCGATGTTCTGCTCCTCCTCGCCTGGGGGTGTGGGTAGAGGGGAGGGGGGATGGGGCGGGGCAGGCAGGCGGGGAGGCAGGGAGGAGAGAGGGAACGAAGAGGGGAGGGAGAGATAACGGGGAAAGTAGAGGGGAGGCACGGGGAAGGGGAGAACGGGAAGCACGGGAGGGGGGGAGAGGAGAAGGCAGTGGAGAGGGGGAGCGACTGAATAGATGCGGAGAGGTGTGCATCCGCTGCTATGTGTCCTGACGTGAGAGAATCAGGGTACCCGCCTTGCACCGCGCACATACCTTGCAGCGCGAGGTAGAGAACGCGCTCGACGACCTCCTTGGACTCCTCGTGCACCAGGTCGTGCACGAGCGACCGTCCCATGGCCTCGCCCACAGGCAGCCCCGTCAGCTCCAATCACATGAACACACTCTCCCCCCGACTAGATACATACATACATTGTTTGCAGGGAGGGGTATAGAGAACGCACCTTGCAGCGCGAGATAAAGCACGCGTTCGACGACCTCCTTGGACTCCTCGTGCACCAGGTCGTGCACGAGCGACCGTCCCATGGCCTCGCCCACAGGCAGCCCCGTCAGCTCCGACACCTTGGCGTTCCAGCCGTTGATGCACCCGCTGGAATCAACGGCCAGGATGGGCGCCGTGGCCGTCTCAATCAGGCGCACCATCTCATTCGCAACGGTGCTGAGCTCGTCCATCCCCTGCAGCTTCAGGTCGTTCAGCCGCGCGTGGATCATCGTCTTGGTCTCGGAATCGTCGATATCCTGGAAGCTGCCGCGGAGAATGAGCTGCAGGGAGTGAATCGCGTCCATCTCGACGTCCTCCCAGGGGAGGGAGCGCTGCTTGACGACTTCGAGGAACGCGGCAAAGGACGAGCGCGGGTGCATGCGCTTGGGGTCGTCCTTGTCTTCCGGGTTGTGCCTCTCGCCGCCCCACTTGACCTCCTTCTCCGCGTGCGACCGGAACCAGAACAGGAAATCCTTCTCCGTGATGCGCGCCGCAGCCATACCGCACACGGCGTTCCCAAGGGTCTCCGCGTTGGGATACCCAGCGTCCGCGAGACTGTCCGTAGACAGACCGGTGGAGTCCTTATGCTGCTCCAGCAGCCAGGAGGCAATGTCCTGAATCTGCTGCTCCGTAGGGGTCGTTCCGAGCAGCCAGAACCGGCCGCCGTAGAACAGCGCCGCGCCGTCGCACTTGACGAGATCCATGATGTTGGGCGACTGCGAGACGATCCCAATGGGCGCGTCGCGCAGCAGCATATCGCACAGGAGCGTCTGGGTGCGGAGAATGTGCTTCTCGCGCAGCTGAGCGGCCAGCTCGACCTCCATGTTCAGCTGGAGACCGAACACTTGCATGAGAAACTCGCAGGCGGAGCGCAGCGGGAAGGGCACGTAGCGGGGCGAGGAGTGGTGGCAGACGACGAGCCCCCAGAGCTTGCGGCCCTTGGACTGGCCGGCGGCGACGGCGTCCTCGTCGTTGTCGTTGATGATGACGGCCATGACGAGCGAGGCCGTGGAGCCCATGTTGCCCATGTACTTGAGATGGCACGGGTGCACGCCGCGGAGGGTGGAGCCGGCGAGAGAGATGGGCTGCTTCAGCGCCTCGTTCTGAACCACAGGGACCTGGAGATAGAAGGGGGAGAGAGGGGGCAGTGGGGGTGGAGGGGATGGGGTAACGGGGGGAGAATGGAGGCGGAAGTGGAGAGGACGCGAAGGGAAAACTTGACAGAAACGAGGATGACGACGCCATGAAAGAGAGACGCTATGGAGCCCATATTGCCCGTGACATTCCAGCTCTCAGCTCTCACGGTTATTCTAATGTGTGTAGGTGTCCAAATACGTGACAAAGTAGGTGTCCTTCAGATGTGTGAGTAAGCTCTTTTAATTGTGAACATTACTCATTCAGCGGCTAGTATGCTTCGTCTTGTCGGCTGACTGTACGTTTTCACCTTAGAAGCCCGTAGCCATTCGGCTACACACAGACAATAGACTTGATCCATCGAGCGTTATAATGCCTGTGCGTGTTTCCAAGTTTCAAAAAAACATGAAATCGAGATCGAGCAGTCTAAGAAACCACTACCAGCATTAGCGAAAACAACTTAAGACGCTTGTCTACACACTCACCGGAGCGGAGTTGCAATCGCAGATCATGCGAACGCGGTTCTTCATGAACAGGAACCGCGACGCCTGCGGGATATCCGTCGCGGGGTAGTGAAGCCCGAGGTACGGCTCCATATCCGACCGTCGGATCTCCGCAATCACCTCGCCGTGCTCATCCTCGTGGAACTTGTAAGTCATCACCCTGTCGTACCCGGTCAGCTCGCGAACCTCCTCCACGACGGCGTCGCACAGTAACCCGATGTCGCCACCGGGGAGGCCCTGCAGGCGCGAAATGGCCTTCGCCGCGAGCTTGTGCGACTGGAGCGCGCCGGCGGCGGTGACGGTCGGGTCGTTGGGGCGCACGGGCTCGAAGTCGATGACCAGGCCGACGTCAATGCGGTGCAGAACGGCGTAGAAGGGTTTCTGCGAGCCGCGGCATTGCACGGAGACGGGGTTCATCATGGACACGTCCTGCGCCGCCGCCGCCTTTTCGAGCGCGGAGACGGACGCCGGGGTGAAGAGCGTGCGCGCATCAGTGCCGATGTCTGCGAGACAGCAGGAAAGGGAGCGAGAGGGAGAGAGAGAGAGAGAGAGAGAGAGAGAGAGAGAGAGAGAGAGAGAGAGAGAGAGAGAGAGAGAGAGAGAGAGAGGAAGAGAGAGAGGGAGAGAGAGATGAAGGGAGAACGATAGAGAAGAATGAATGAGTACGCTCACCATCTTTGCTGATAACTTCAGCACACGGGGAAGAGATAAGTAGAGGACGATAACTGAATACCAGCGTGCAAGAAAACATCCGTGTTTCGGTAACGGAATAAGCAGCAAACTGTACCATTCGCAATTCCTTTGTTCTACTTGTGAAGAAGAAACAAAAGCAAAGTTATCTTCTTTTCCCGTCCATCGCCTGTCACATCCACTCACCAAGCAGGCCCTTGGAGCCGACAGTCGGCACAGCCTGCGGCAGCAGGTCGAGCATCTCCGGGGCGTTTTCACTGTACGCAATCACCTTAAACGTCTCCTCCTCCACCGCAATCATGCACCCGAACGTCTGGGTAATTCCTCCGCGCTGCATGCGCTGCAGGTACGCCGTGATGGTCGTCGACGGCATGCTCTCCGCGCCGGTGCCGCGGCTGGCATCGACGGACTTGCTGTAGTCGAAGGTGTCGCCGGTGTTGGCGGAGTTCTCGAAGGCGGAGTGCAGCTGCGCGTCCGCCGTGGCCTGCGCCACGCGGATGTCGCGCTTGGACTTGTGCGAGCTTCCGCCCGACGAGCCGGACATGCGCGACGACATGGCGGGCAGATGCTTGGGTACCGGAGAAGTTTAGAATATGGTGGTGAGAGTCGGAGCCTGGTGAAATATTCTGTCTGATGAAAGCGGATAGTGCTGAAGTGTTGGAGCCTGGATGGATAAAAGCGTTCATTGTGATCCAAGAGGCGTATATGCACATAAAAAGAATGGGAGGGAGGCAGACAGAAGCAGTAAATAAAAAAGTCGCTGGCTTAGTTGAGTGTGATAAGAATGGTTGGCAAGACGACCGAATGTAAAGGAGAACACCAGAAAGATGCGACATTGTAAATGCCAAGCACACTGGAAACAGACGTCCTATGAACACTACTTGGTACCATGTTAAGCCTAAACGGTCTCCTACCGAACATATGTTTATTCTACTTCAGCCTTTACTTGCATTCGAGTATCGTTAGCTGAATGAAAGGTGGATGAAAAAACAGGAAACCCAAGAAACGCGTGCGATGCAGTCCCAACTGATGCCCGCCACTAAACCACTTACCAACACAGCCTAACGCAAACCCTACGCGACGCACTGAGAGCAAGGCAAGTGACAATTCGTACCTAGTCCTTGATGAGGGAAACAAGCTCCAGCCCTGCAACCTTGCAACTGGAAGTTCTCTGGTTTGAGAATAACAAGCAGACAGAATGCAAAAATGGGATCCTTGGAGATTCAAAGGCAGGAAAGCATTCAGGGGAAACAGGGGAAGGGGGAGGAGAGCCCAGTTGATAGGAGGACGAGGCTGCTGTGCTTGGATATTTTCCTGAGTGCTTGTTCAGTTGAGTTCTAGGAATTAGCAATTAGCTGGTTACAATCTTCGTTTCTGCCGCGTATCCTTTCGTGTCCAATAGTTGCCTTCATTGTTGCACTGGTTTAAACAGAACTTTCGAGATGTGCATTTTGAGTGACACCGCACGGGTCCCAGAGTCACGCTAATCACCAATTCCCAAGGTGAGTGAGGTGGCATTGGCACGGGAATCCAGACAGGGTGTGGGTACAGTAACGGGGGTGTGGATTGGGATTGGGAACTTGGGGGGTCAGGTCAGGTGGTCCGCACAGGAAGTGGGTGTGGGGTGGGCGTGGGAATGATGTGCGGAGAAAATCACGATTCACACGAGCCTGGTGGGCTGCCAGCCACACTGCCCGTAGATGTGGGCGGGAATTGCCTCTTGTAGAGACACGGGAGCTTGTGAGGCGGACCTCGAGACTAGCCAATCACAAAACATGTTGCTTGTGGAGCGCGATTACAGACTGAGTTCGTTACCGAATAAGAGTGGGTTTGCTAGTTACCGGTAAGCAGAGCTCTTCGCCAGCACCGCCTCATGCCAGCAATCACGGCAGACATCTCGATAGAGAGGAGATCCAGTGATTTTCCCGGAACCAATCAAAGGAAAGAGCCGTTTCCAGATCGCTGCCAACAGCTAATCCGTCACGTGATGCCTTACGTCATCGTAGCCCAAACCTGCACTCACCAGGCTGATGTGGACAGAAACCAGTCACCAGCAATTCCTTTTTGGTTGTCGAACCAGGAAAAGGCAAAATATCTTGGCAGTTGACCAGCAAGGCAAAGATAAAGCAGACAGTGGACGGTTGTCGTCATTGAATGCTGTGACTGCTGCATAGCAATTTCCACTATATGGAACAGTAAAACGGCCGTATAGACTATCTATCTCCATCTTCACAATGTCACATCTTCAGCAAATGGACACGCATTACTACGTAGCAATGAAATCTCAGATAGAGTCTGGCCGTAATTTCCAGCATTTCACAACCAATCTGGCTTCGTGCACCGTTAGCATTCATGCTATTGATGTTCGCTTGAGTCTTCATTCACATTGTATCACCAATATTTTTATGTGAGAGGAATGCTCAGACATTGCACATTCACGGTTGGTATTTATATCCTAAAACATTTCGTGTCACCCTACCCAGCAGCCAGCCAAGCTCAGGAATCTCTACTCGATAGTTGTGTCTCATTCTGCACATCTAGGAATCAGTCGCACAACAAATCGCCATACCGTTTGGCCCCGGATATAAGCGCATATGCGCTTATAATAAGTAATGATTTTTTAGGGGTGGCGCTTGTAATTGAGGAACGGCCATAAGCGCCGGCGCTTATAAAATGTCAAATTCCAATTTTGGTTTTCGAAGTATTAAATTGAAGCCCACAATAAGGTGAACACAACTGTGAACGTTGCGCATGGGATCGTGCATGAAATTCCGGCGAAAACTGCAGCGACTCGATTTCCCACCGCACAGAACCTGTCCTGGAGCAACGCACCTGCCAGCGATGACGTGCATCCTGGCGTGCGGCCCAATAGGGTTTACATGCGCTGCCAGGGTGCCACATTTCACCCGAACTTTCGAGAAGGGGGTGGCATATTCCTGCCAGCGCAGCAGATACGTGCCGCGATTCCCTCCTCTGCGGGTTTAGGCAGGTGGGGATCTGACTATGCCTGAAGAGGAACTCAAGCCGCACACCAGAAGGGGTCCCCTCCAAACCCTCATTTCTTCGCCTTCTCTTTCACTTTTTTTTCATTCAGATTCTTGGTCTCGCCCGCCATGCTGCGGAAGCCATGGCGGAATTCGCTGGCACTCATTTCTTGTTCAAAAAGAAGCCCGCGCGTAGGCCCGCCTTCGTAGTCGACGCCGACGGATGGTACTCCCGTGTCCCACCTGAACCACCAGAGCCACCACAGCCTCCATCGCCACCTGCGCCGCCTGCTCCTCCTGCTCCTCCTTTGCCGCCTGCGCCTCCTGCTCCTCCTGTTCCTCCGTCTCCTCCGATTCTGGGATGTCCTCACAACACAGGGGATCCGCCCGTGCTCACGCTCCTGCTCCCGACTGCGTTCGACGAGTGGCTGGAGGAACCGGAAAGCAACAAGGCCCAAGATGTTGAGGTACCCGGCGCACCTTACCCTGGACCACGTTGGGGCCGGCCCGATGATTGCACCACGTGATTTGGCAGGTGTGCGAAGAGCTCTATGCTCGTGCTGGATTCCTACCGCGGCCACCTTACCGAGGGGGTGAAGGAGAAGCTCCGCGAGATCAACTGCGTGCCTGCTGTCATCCCGTCGGGTTGTACGGGTGAGGTTCAGCCACTCGACGTCTCCATCAACAAGAGCTTCAAAGCATCTGTTCGTCAGCAGTACCAGAAGTGGTTTCAGGAGGAGGGCCAAGAGCAACTGACACCTGCAGGTACGTTGTTTCCGTTAAACACGCATGTTTATCCCCCTTTCACCCTTGGTCACTAACATGGCTTTCCCGGGTGTCTCTGTTGCGGTGCAGGGAATCTAAAGAAGCCCCCCCCAGAAGTGGTCCTTCGATGGATTTCACAAGCCTGGAAAGCAGTACCCTCCGACCTCGTCAAGCGCGCCTTCCTCTGTCAAACATTATGTGCTCTTGGCACGGACGTCCTAGAGGACAGACAGGAGGAGTTACAGTGTCTAGCGGCTGCTTCACCTCATCTCGCGTCTGTACTGCTTGCCCCTGAGGGAGACCCGGATGCACTAGACATCCCGACTCCGCGTTCTTACGCAGAGGCCGTAGAGGGTCCCTACTCCTCTCAGTGGCAGGCAGCTATGGATGCAGAGATGGCTTCCTGGAAGTCCACAGGCACCTACGTTGACGCGGTTCCCCCTCCTGGGGCGAACATCGTCAGTGGCATGTGGATCTTCAGGGTGAAGCGGCCGCCGGGCTCTCCACCTGTCTTTAAGGCGCGGTACGTTGCTCGTGGCTTCAGTCAGCGGCAGGGAGTTGACTACTTTCAGACCTTCTCTCCCACCCCGAAGATGACCACTCTTCGGGTGCTGCTGCACATAGCCGCTCAGCGCGACTACGAGCTTCACTCTCTCGACTTCAGCACTGCGTTCCTGCAGGGTAGCCTGCACGAGGAGATCTGGCTGCGCCGTCCACCTGGCTTCACTGGGACTTTCCCTCCTGGCACCCAGTGGAGCCTCCGACGGCCAGTCTACGGTCTCCGCCAGGCACCGCGTGAGTGGCACGACACACTGAGGACTACGCTTGCGGCTCTTGGGTTTGCTCCTTCTACTGCTAACCCGTCGCTGTTTCTGCGCACCGACACTTCACTGCCGCCGTTCTACATCCTCGTGTACGTCGACGACTTGGTCTTTGCCACAGCGGACACTGCTGGACTCGCCTACGTGAAGTCCGAACTGCTGAAGAGACCCACGTGCACAGACCTGGGTGAACTGCGCAGCTACCTTGGCTTGCAGATCACTCGAGACAGAGCACGCCGCACCATTACCTTGACTCAGTCACACATGGTGCAGCAGGTCCTTCAGCGCTTCGGCTTCACGTACTCCTCGCCTCAGGCCACTCCTCTGCCTACTCGCCACTCACTCTCAGCTCTGCCTTCGGATGAGTCCGTAGAGTCGAGTGGTCCGTATGCAGAGCTTGTTGGCTGCCTCATGTACCTGATGACCTGCACACGACCTGACCTTGCATACCGTCTGAGCATTCTTGCACGCTATGTTGCTCCTGGGAGACACAGACCAGAGCACATGGCTGCAGCGAAGAGGGTATTGCGCTACCTGTGCAGTACGTCGGGCATGGGGCTTGTGCTTGGAGGGCGGAGTCCAGTGGTCCTTACCGGCCACGCGGACGCTTCTTGGGCTGACGACCAGGCTACGCAGCGGTCGTCACAGGGTTACACCTTCAGCCTTGGTTCCGGCTCTGTCTCGTGGCGGTCTACTCGCTCGTCTTCGGTTCTCGGCTCCAGTTGTGAGGCTGAGATCTACGCCGGGGCCATGGCTGCACAGGAGCTTCGCTGGCTCACCTACCTGCTGACTGACCTTGGAGAGCCGCCTCGTTCTCCTCCAGTGCTGTACGTAGACAACAAGGCCATGCTGGCCTTGTGTCGAGAGCAGCGCTTGGAGCACAGAACGAAGCACATTGCTCTCCGCTACTTCCTTGCTCGTGAGCTGCAGCAGCGTGGTCAGTTGCGACTTGCGTACGTGGCCTCTGAGGCCAACACTGCTGATGTGTTCACCAAGGCACTCGCGCCTTGTGATCATCAGCGCTTTTGCACCCAGCTGGGTCTTGTGTCTGTCTTGCCTCACTTGCTCTCCTCTTGACTTTACTTGTACTGTGACATATATATATACCTGCTCTTGCTTGTCTAGTTTTATATATATGTCTGTACTCCTGCATGTGAACTGGCCTCTGGCCCTGCTCTTGTGCTCGGACTGTGTGGTGACTTTGTGATCCACCCTGAGCTTGCTTTGCTTTGCTTGACTGGTCTTGTGACCCCTTGTTCTCCCCCACTTTGCCTATGGGGGTGTGTCAAACATTATATATGTTATGCTTGTGTAGGCTACAGTGGGTTAGCCTATAGGGGGTACACAATTCTAGGGTTTACTACTTGTACTCATTTCACTTCTAGTTCATCCATTCCTGTTCGCTTATTCTCACATCCTCACCTGCGGCATTAGCAACGCACTTGACGGCAGTGAGGACCACCTCGCCATGGCGCACAGGCGGAGCCAACTGACGGCGGAAGTGGATGTAGACGACGGCATCATCGCCGACGGATTTTTCGGCAACAACTGCCAGGAGCCCGAGTCTGACGAGGAGTAGGTAGTTCCGGTAGAATAGCAGATTAAGTCTAAAATTGTGTACCTAGGTAGAATACCGTAGCAGATTAAGTCTAAAATTGTGTATAACTTGTAGTATTCGTTGAAGCGAACGATGTTATAGTTGTTGTTTTCTTTTGTTGTGGTGGTAAAAAAAGTGTTAATATTGAGGGTGGCGCTTATAATAAGGAAGGGTACAAAAGGGGTGGCGCTTATAATCGAGGATCGGCCATAAGCGCCATGCTCCAGATAGAAGCGCCGGCGCCTGTAATAGGCCGGCGCCTATATCCGGGGCCATACGGTATATGGCTCCTCATACATATGTGTGTCAAACTAAATATATGCTTAATAACTGGGTGTAGGCTGTAATGGGGTAGCCAATGTGGGGTATAGCCCCTTAGGTTTATACTTCTATCAAAACTCTCTCGATAGTCAATCAACCTTTCTACTTTTCTCAACATGGTATTAAGAGCCTTAGGTCCTTAGGACCGTTTATTTTAGGGCCCACCTACCGCTTCCGGTTACCGCGCTACCCCGCGCCCTGCCCTGCCCTGACCTGCGTAGCGCAGCCCGGCGCACACCCTGCCATGCCCTCTGCTGCGCCACTAGCAGCCCGCGCGTCGCCCCTGCGTGGCCCGCGCGCAGCTCCTACTGGCCCACGCGCCGCCCGCTAGCAGCCGGCGCGACCCACCCGCTGTGCCCGCATCCCGCGCGCAGCTCCTGCCGGCTCGCGCGCCGCCCGCTAGCAGCCCGCGTGCCCTGCGCGCTGCCTTGCCGGCCGCCTGCTACACCCTACGCGTCGTCAGTCGCGCTGCCCCGCAGCCCTGTGCGCCGCCCGCCCTGCTGCCCTGCCGGCCCCTTGCAGCCCCGTGCGCCGCCTGCCCTGCTGCCGCGGCTGCCTGCTGCGCCCTGCTCTAAGCGCCCTGCCTGCACTGCCCTGTGCCCTGCCCACCCTGCCAGCGCTGCAGCCGCTGCTACGTTGCTGCTGCTGCCAGCGCCGCACTGCCCCACCGAGCCCGAGCCGCGCCGCACCACCTGAGCCGCGCCGCCTTACTGAGCCGCGCCATGCTGCATAGGGGCCTGGCATTAGTTTTCTAGCAATCGCTTTGCCTTGCCAGTCCCACGCCAGCAGATATGTCCACCCTCCGCGTTCTGTCGTTCGATGCTGAGGGCCGCCCAATTCAGTTTGAGACCTGGCTCGATGACCTGCAGCTGTTCTTAATGAGCGATAGCAAGGATGACCACACGTCTGGTGCCTCAGTCGCTCCTGCTCCCATAGATGAGCTTAGCGCCCATTCCTAGTGGCAGACTCGTGATCCTGTTGCGCGCCTAGCCATTCGCAATCACCTCTCGTTAGCTGAGCTCACGCATTTTGGCGAGCACAAGACCGCTAAGGCCCTTTACGACGCTGTACTGGCTCGATACTCCTCCCCTGCCACAGCTGAGCTTAGCCGCCTCATGTTGCCCTACCTGTTTCCTGAGCTGTCCACCTTTGCCACAATCGCCGATCTCATTACCCACCTTCGCACTAGTGACACCCACCTTCGCGCCGCCCTCCCCAAAGATTTATGTGCTAAGCACCCGCCTATGATGTACTGGACCCTCCACTTCATAGTCACCCGTCTCCCTGATTCTCTTAGCTCGGTCAGGGACCACTTTCTCGCTCGTTGTCCCACCGAACTCACTATCGACCTCCTAGAGAAGCACCTCCTTGCAGCAGAGAAGAGCATTGTCGCTGTAGCTGCTGCTCGTGGCGCTCCTCGCACCCCCATCTTTGAGGGGTGCTCTCCTTCTCCCCTCGCCCCCTCCTTCGCTACCACTGCTGCTGTTGACTTCCTTGGTGTTGAGTAAGCTGGTGCTGCTTCTGCTCCTAGTGGGAGGCGTCGTAACGACAAGGGCAAGGGAGCCAAGGGTAGCGGAGGTGGCACCGGGGGTGGTGGTGGTGGAGACGGTGGAGGAGGAGGAGGTGGAGGAGGGAGTGGTGGCGGGAGTGCTGGCGGGAGTGGTAGCGTCGGTAGCGATGGTGGAGGCGGTGACGGCGGAGGAGGTGGCAGCGGCGGTGGCGGCGGCGGTGGCAGCGGCGGTGGCGGCCGGGGCGGTGGTGGCGGTATAGGTGGCGGTCGGGGTGGAGGCACGGGCGCTGGCCAGAGACAGCAGCAACAGCAGAGTCCCCAGACGACCCAGCAGCTTCGTGGGTGGCTTGCTCAGCGTGGGAGGTCTGGGGGTGGTGGTCACTGCTCGTATGTCATTCGTACAGGTGACCGCAAGGGTTAGACATGCGAAAGTTCCACACCCATCACCGCTGCTTCTCCCGCCTTGACGACGCCTAGCATGAAGAGATGGGCAAGGACGCTGAGCGCCCTCGCTGGTATGAGCTGCTTAGGGCTGGTGTACACATCTTTGCTCTTGGCTATGATGCTATTATTTCTGCCATGTATGCATTGGAGATTAGTGCTAATGGTGACTATTACTTGTGTGTGCCGCCTGACTCCGGTATAGAGACTAGTACTCTAGGTGCTGGTGAGGCTGCTGCCTTAGGTGCGAGCGAGTTTGCTCTCTCAGGTACTGCGCCTGCTGAGGCCTTGCACACCTTCACGCTTCACTCAGGTGCTTCCCGCTGCTTCTTTCGTGACAGTACCGCACACACACCACTCCATGCACCTGTTGCAGTCTTTCTGGCTGATCCCTCAGGGGGCCCAGTTCTTGCACGGTCCACCAGTGTGCTCCCGTGCCCGGCGGTTCCGTCTGGCTCCCAGTCAGCTCTCCACCTCCCCTCGTTCTCTTCGAACTTGGTGAACACTGCTTTCCTCTAGGATGCGGGGGTTGACACCTTCACCCCTGGTCGGCAGCGTGTGGCGACCTGTACGTGCTCCCATACCGGCCGCCACCTCACCATGTTTACCCGTCGGCCAGGGTTGAGTCTTTACACACTAACGACTGCGCCTCCTCAGGTAGTTGCTACTGGTTAGGTGTCAGCGTCAGGTCAGGTAGCCTCCCCTTGTGAGTGTCGCTCCCTGTCGCACCAGAATTTTCTCTGGCACCACCGCCTGGGTCACCCCTCCTTGCTATGTCTCCGTGGCATGCACCATCGCCTCCTAGTGTCTCGTCTTCCCAGGTATCTCCCTCCCCTCCCTGCCTCGCCTGCGCCGCCCTGCCCTTCTTGCGTCGAGGGGCGGCAGCGCGCCGCTCCTTGTAAGAATGTGATGTTTGTGTAGCCTGCAGTGGGGTACTCTATAGCGAGTACAGCCCGAATCAGGGTTTGCTATATGTACTCAACTGCATGCTAGTGAAAACCCTTATTTCCTGTTTCTCGATTTTGCCTAGCATTTAAACATGCTTTCAGAGAGTTAGAATAGTGGCTAAAACGAGGGGTCATAGCTAGGTAAACCCTAGCTAGGCAAGAGAAAATAGGCAAAGAAGGGGTTGCACTAGCAAGCAGGTGGATACAAATAGGAAACCCTAAGGGGCTGTACTCACTATAGAGTACCCCACTGCAGGCTAGACAAGCATTATATTCTGACACACCCGTATAGTCAAAGTGGGGTATAATCAGTACAGCAAGCAGGCATAGAGCAATAGTTCACAATGAGAAGCAAGGCTAGAGGCTATTACAGAGGGCAAGTGAGGAGAAGGAGAGACTGTGGAGGAGAGAAGATGGGAGGCGATTGCTGAAGATGCAGACACATAGGAGCTGCTGGCTCAGTGGCTACCGAAGCAAAGGCCCGGACTACAGGAGTAACTGGCTCCGCGGAGATTGTAGCCTCCAGACCGGAGCAACTGACCCACAGGCGACTGGCGACTACCGGAGATTGTAGCCTCCGGACTACTAGTGCTGCTGGCGACACGACGGCTGCCTCCACTCAACCTCCCCCAGCTGCCCCACGCACCTCTCACACACCCCCTGCTGAAACCCTAGCTCCACTCCCATGGCACCCCCCTTAAACCCTAAACCCTAGGCTCCCACACACCCACCCCCCTCAGCGACAGCTGCAGCAGTGGGAGACGAGGGAGGAGGAGGAGCAAGGGGAGGAACTTACAACCGCCACCCCCACACCCGCCACCCCCAAACCCTAACGCAGGTAGGAGCGCGGGAAGCAGTAGGGGCAGGTCACGGAAGGAAAAGGGAGGCAGCGGGTGGTCTCCAGGGCGCCACGAAAAAGCAGGGCGCGGGCCCCCCGAGGGCGCCACGGCGGGTGACGGGAGGGGGTCCGCGTACGGGCCCACGAGGGCGGCTCGACGGGCGACGGAAGGGGCCGCGCGCGGGCCCCCAAGGCGCCGCGACGAGGCGATGGCTGGGGCCGGCGCGCGGGCCCCCAGGGCGCCGCGGCGAGGCGACGGGAGGGGCCGCGTGCGGGGCCCCAAGGCGCCGCGACGAGGCGACGGTTAGGGCCGGCGCGCGGGCCCCCAGGGCGCCGCGACGAGGCGACGGGAGGGGTCGGCACGCGGGCCCCCAAGGCACCGCGACAAGGCGACGGGAGGGGCCGGCGCGCGGGCCCCCAAAGCGCCGCGACGAGGCGAGGGAAGGGGCCTGCGCGCAGGCCCCCAAGGTGTCAAACTTATATGATCTAGCCTGTGTAGGTTGTAGCGGGTAAGACACTAAGGGGTACAGAATTCTAGGGTTTCATATTTGTATCACTTTCATTCCTTAGTCAATCCATTCTCGTTCTAAGTTTCTCATGGTATCGAGCAGGTTCCCTAGTGGGAACTTTCCTAGGGCCCACCAAGATCGAGGCCCGTCGCGCCGCCCTTAGCGGCCCCGTCGTGCCCTCCTTAGCGGCCTGTCGCGCCGCCCTTAGCGGCCCCGTCGCGCCCTCCTTAGCGGCCCGTTGCGCCCTCCTTAGCGGCCGGTCGCGCCGCCCGTAGCGGCCCGTCGCGCCCTCCTTAGCGGCCCCGTCGCGCCCTCCTTAGCGGCCCGTCGCGCCGCCCCTAGCGGCCCCGTTGCCGCCTCTGCCGGCCTCGTTGCCGCCCTTGACGGCCCCGTCGCCGCCCCTTCCGGCCCCGTCGCCGTCCTTCCGCGGCCCCGTCGCCGCCTCCCCCCTTTCAGCGGCCCCCTCGCCGCCCTTTCAGCGGCCCCGTTGCCGCTCTTTCAGCGGCCCCGTCGCCGCCTCTTAGCGGCCTCGTCGCCGCCCTTCAGCGGCCCCGTCGCCGCCCTTCTGCGGCCACGTCGCCGCCCTTTCAGCGGCACCGTCGCCGCCCTTTCAGCGGCCCCGTCGCCGCCCTTTCAGCGGCCCCGTCGCCGCCTCTTAGCGGCTTCGTTGCCGCCCTTCAGCGGCCCCGTTGCCGCCCTTCAGCGGCCCCATCGCCGCCCCTTTCCGCGGCCCCGTCACCGCCCCTTTCCACGGCCCCGTCGCTGTCAAACATTATATATGTTGTTGTAGTTATTTAGGCTACAGTGGGTTAGCCTATAGGGGGTACACATTTCTAGGGTTTCATACTTGTACTCATTTTCACTGTTAGTTCATTCATTCTTGTTCAACATGGTATAGAGCAGGTCCTTCCTAGGACCGATTTTTTTTAGGGCCCACCACTACCTACCTACCTACCTACCTACCTACGCCCCAGGGCGCTTCGGCTTTCACACCCCTAGAGGCCCCGTCGGCCCCGCGCTCTCGCACCTAGAGGCCGCGATCGGCCCCGCGCTCGCTTTTAGAGGCCCCGAATCGGCCCCGCGCTTACCCCTAGAGGCCCGCGTCGGCCCCGCGCTCGTCCTTAACGGCCCCGATCGGCCCCGCGTTTGCCCTTAGCGGCCCACGTCGGCCCCGCGCTCGCCCTTAGAGGCCCTGAACGGCCCCGCGCTCACCCTTTACGGCCCCGAATCGGCCCCACGCTCGTCCCTAAGGCCCCGGGTGGCCCCGCGTTTGCCCTTCAGGCCCCGCGCTCGTCCCTTACGGCCCCGATCGGCCCCGCGCTCGTCCCTCACGGCCCCGATAGGCGCCCACGTCGGCCCCGCGCTCGTCCCTATCGGCCCCACCCGCTCCCCGCGCTCGCCCTTAGCGGCCCCAAACGGCCCCACCCAGAACGAGCCGCCCGAACCGAGCAGCCCGAACCGAGCCGACCCGAGTCGTCCAGCCCTAACGGAACCGAGCCGCCCGACCCGAGCCGCCCAGCCCTAACCGAGCCGAGCCGCCCGACCCGAGCCGCCCAGCCCTAACCGAGCCGCGCCGCCCGACCCGAGCCGCGCCGCCCTACCTATACCGAGCCGCGCCGCCCTACCTGTACCGAGCCGCGCCGCCTTACCTCTACCGAGCCGCGCCGCCCTACCTGTACCGAGCCGCGCCGTCCTACCTACCCTTTGACTGCTCCACTGCTTTTCCTACTGCTGCTACCATGGCTAGCCCTCCCGTGCTAGCCTTCGATGCTGAGGGCCGCCTAGTGAAGTTCGACACCTGGCTTGATGACCTACACCTCTTCCTACAGCTCACTGCCAAGGAAGACATCTCACTGTACGATCACGCCTTAGGCCACGCTACTGCTCCTGCTGCTACTGCTGACAGCACTGCCCGCTCACAGTGGCAGACTCGTGACGCCCATGCTCGCTTCGCTATTCGCAACTCTCTGCCGATAGATGAGCGCGAGCACTTTGGGCAGCACAAGACTGCGCAGGCACTGTACACTGCTGTCGTTGCCCGCTACTCCTCACCGGCCTCTGCCGCTCTAGGCCGTCTCTCTCTTCCCTACCTGTTCCCTGACTTAGCTTCCTTCCACACTGTCGCTGATCTCATTACCCACCTCCGCACTAGTGAGGCTCGCTTCCGCGCCGTTATGCCTGATGAGTTCCTTGCCAAGAACCCACCCCCGCTCTGGCTCACTCTCTACCACCTACTCACCCGCCTCCCTGACACTCTACGCTCAGTCAGGGACCACTTCCTAGCTCGCTGCCCCACCGAGCTCACCATTGCCCTCCTCGAGAAGGAACTCCTTGCAGCTGAGGCTAGCATAGTCACTGTAGGTGCCTCTCGCGGTGACCCCCGTACCCCGTTATTTGAGGGGTGTTCTCCCTCCCCCCTTCTTCCCTCTGTCGCCTCTGCTGCTGCTGTCGACCTCCTTGGTGCTGAGAAGGTCGGGACTGCGTCTGCTTCGAGCGGGCGCCGCAGCGGCAAGGGCAAGAGGGGC